GGTTGCCCCCGGGGGGGCTGCAGCAGAGTCACCATCCACAGTCTTGCTGTGGGTGGGAAAGCACCGGGCGGGCTGGGGCGGCGTGCTGCTCTCTTGGCTTCGGAGGAGCTGGACTGTGGGTCCAGAGACCTTTGGGACATGGGTTAGTGCTCAGGGAGGTGCTGGCTTGGCCGTTGGACTTGGTGATCTCGGAGATCTTGAGATCTTTTCCAACCATAAAGAGTCCCCATCCCTGGAGGTGTTTAAAGGTCGGTCAGAGGTGGGGCTGGGGAGATGGGTTAGGGGTGAGCTTTGTAGAGCAGGGTTAATGGTGGGACTCGATGATCCCGGGGGCTTTTCCAACCCGAATGACTCTCTGATTCTGCGATTCCAGCAGCCGGTGCGGTTGAATATCCGGCATCGCCGGTGGTCGAGGGGTACGTTTTGGGCTCATTTAAATCGATTAAGAGCCCCAAAATGAGTCGTGGCGGGGGGGTGTGATCGCCTGGTCCTTCTCTGAACACCAGTCTGTCTGTCGTTCCTCAGGTGGACTGGGTCCAGTGCGACGGCAGCTGCAACCAGTGGTTCCACCAGGTGTGCGTGGGCATCTCTCCAGAGATGGCGGAGAAGGAGGACTACATCTGCCTCAGCTGCTCCGGGAAGGACTCGCAATACCGGAAGTAAAACTGTTCAGGACTCGAGGAAAGGAGGTTGTCAGAGTTTTCCAATAAAGCCGCAGAGGCTGGTTTAAGAACCAGGTTGCAATTGGTGCTACTTCTATCCTTATGGGATCATTTTCCAGAACTCAATTTTTGACACTTTTATATTTTCCCTTGATCTGTTTGTGGTTGTTGAGGTTTGAGATGCTGACTGTTGAGCAGGGGTTTCCACCGATTCGGAAGGCATTTGAAACATGCACCTTTTATTGTACAGCATAAAGTACCTCTCTGGGATTTACCGGTGTATTTAATTCAGCTTGATTTAGGTGCAAAAAAAAAAAAAAAAAGAAAAAAAAAAAGAAAACCAAAACCTGCACCATGAATTTTCCAATAAATCCTCTTTCGAGGAAATCCCCATTTACTCTGTTAACTCTTTGGAGCCTTTAGGTTTTTTTCCACTTTGTTTTTCGTAGGCTAGGTTTATTTATCTGAGCAATAACTTCTATGTCTGGTTTCAGTGACTGGAATGACAATTCTGAACAGCGTGTTGCTTCTAGCATTGGTTGATGTACAGAAAGCAAATGGTAGACCCTAGTGTCACTGATGGCCCCGTGATGTAGAAGACAGGAAAAAAAAAAAGGTCTGTAAAGTAATTGCCACAGCTGTATTTTGGCTTTCTCCTTTTTTGGGTAGCTTGTATCAAATGTTGCAGTTTATATTGTGGAATAAACCCCTGGTTATGTTATAAAATTAAATGTTGGTGTTTTTAGAGAGCTTGAAATGCAGTTTCATTTCCCTCTGGATCCATAATGATTGCATCGATGGGTTCTCCAAGGGAAATCTGTGTTCAGCAAAAGAACGGCAAAAGCCACGATACTTTCTTACCTTACTTGTGTGTTTGGGTTTGGAAGGAGAAGGCGTATGAAAACGTTATTCACACAAAAAAGAGAAAAAAAAAATCCCAACTTTTCAGGTCTTTAGCAAAGCTTTTCCAAAAGGGAAGTTATTTGCAGGGCGAGGGGAATAAAGGGTTCAAAGGACAGTTTGTGATGTGGGGGGACAGGAGCGGGGAGCTCGCGGCGAGACGAAGCCGTGGGGCAGCTCCTTCTGCCAGCCCTGTCCCGCCGCCGCTCCTCCCAGCTCCTCCGCCTGCATTTAGGCTGAAATCCTGAGGGGTAAGGAAGTTTCTAGTCGGGCTGTGATTCTGGCCAAGACTCTTTAGGGACGTTAGCCCGGGGGCAGAGCGCGTCAGGGCACGGCCCTGCTGCCTCCGTGGGGAGCAGAGCTCCGAGGAGGAGACGGGGTTGGTCCAAGCCTGCCGGGCACGGCGTGGGGCAGCACCCGAAATCCTCCGGAGAGTGCTCGCTGATGCGGAAGAGAGCTTTTGCTCCTTTGGAGGTGGGCTGGTGACAGTGAGGTGGCTCCAGGGCCTGCCGGACCTTCTGGAGCCCTGCAGGATGGGAGGTTTAGGAGATCTCCTTACGCCATCCTCTTACCCCCGGGAACACAGTGTTGGTGCTCCCTCTGCTCATCACCGACAGAAGTTGGCTGGTAAATGTTTCCCTGCTGGTTTTAGATTTTCTCCCTGGGCAGAAGCACCCAGAGCAAAGCCTCCGAGCCGTACGTGGCTGATGAGGACATGGTGGATCTCTGTGGAGTCACAACTGTGCAGGGATCTGTTTTCCCAGGGATCTGGGGTTTATTTGAACACTTGCACACATTTGTAGTCTCATGTTGATTTTTAGCTGTTGGAGAATCTTGAGCCTGGCACAGCTGAGTCGTCTGAAAGCGCTGGTGGGAGAGAAGACAACGTGAGCACACGCACCTTTGTTAAATATGAAGATGCTTCCACAGTACGGCTTTTTTATTTACTGCAATTGCCAGAAGGATGGTTTGTGATTTGTATTTGTTGTTGTTGTTGTAGGAAGAAGTCTTTGTGCAAGGCTGAGATAACAGTCCAAGCTGTGGAAAAAAACCAGATCTGTAATAACTCCCTGTTAGAGGGGGCAGATGAAAAAACTTGAACTAGAAAGAGCCTGCGCAGGGTTTTGGTGTAGCTGAAAACATGACAAAAGTTTCTTCCACAGCATCCCTCTCATTGTTTTTCCGTTTGGCCGTTTACCAAAAAGTGCCAAAGGAAATACGATGCCATTAAGTTTTGCGTGATGATTCAGTACAGGACCGAGGGAAAGTTGTCGTTTTCGACTGGAGGCCAGAGGAGACATTTGTGATCCTGACGGCAAAGTTCCTCGTCAGCATTAACGAATGCAGTAGGGTTGGAGCATGGTGGGCCTGGAAACTACCGCATCTTTGCTTGAAAATTGTCAAGAAATGGAATAGCTGTTCCCTGGGTGACGAGTACGAGGTGTCTGCTTCAGGATTTGCCTTTTTGTCTCCTGCTGGGGCTGGGGCCTCTGCATGCGGGGCCATGGCTGTCGGATTTCATCCCCGTGCGGATACTTCAAACTGGATTTGGGTCGGGCTTGACTTTGTCAAACAAAAGGTTTGTTGTTTGCTTCAGGGTGAGCTCTTCTGAGGGCATCCCTGCTCGTCAGGGAAGATGATGAGGGCAGAACACGCTCAGCAGCAGGGTCCCTTTCGCCCTGCTTCTTGCCCCTGCTCGATTTCCAGAGACCAAACCAAAACAAGCAGAAAAGGTCCGTCCCACCCCTTTCTGCTGGTTTTTTTTAGTTTTTAATTTTTTTTAGAATGAGGCAGCCAAGTGCATCAAACTCCTGGATTGCTCAGATCCTAATTCTTTATTTGACGAGTTTATGACCTTTACATTAGTTTAATCATAAAATAAGATAAAAATCAAATGAGTTACCCTACCTGTGGATTTGAGGCTGAAAACCCTGATTTTCTTTAATGCCTGCCTGCACCATCCGCCAAGTCGTTGGGATCGTGTCTGTTGTGCCACCTTTAATCTGCTTGATGGGCACTTTCTTGTGCAGCGTGGAGGAGCATCAGAACAGCCTGAACCGTGCCCAGCTGTACCCATCCTTGTCACGTACGGCACCAGTGAGATGCTGACCTGAAGGAGCGGCGAGGGTTTGGTTCCACCTGTTCCTGTTCGCAGACTGCAGCCCATCGGGGCACATTTCCAGGACCAAGGTGTAAAGTTCCTCAGGTTGGAGCTGGCCTTGAGAGAGCAGCTGTTTGCGGGGCAGCCTCTTGGCCCTGCCTCCCAGTTTGGGAAGCGAACGTAGGATTCAAAGGTTTCGTGACTCCAACGCAGTTTGGGGATACCTTGAATCACGTTGCTGAGAGCTGTGGAACCCGAGGCAGAAGGTGGGTGGTGGCTTCGGAGGAAGATGGGAACCAACGGTCACTGCGCTCTGAGCCAGAGTGCAGGCTGGGCATCCGCATGGATCTGCAGCCTTGCATCGCTCCTTTCCTGGAGGTGACAGAAGAGATCTTCAGCAGTTGTGTCAGCACTTGCCAAGTGAAGGTGTCAGAAGTGGTAATGGTTTGCTTCACACTCTTCTTACACCGCCTGATGTGCCGAACCTCCCAGGTAGCGCAGGGATTGTCCGCAGGCAGGAGCTGTTGATGTGAGAAGTGCACAGCCTGACTGGCCCCCAGCAGGCACAAAAATGCGTGGAACAAAGCGGAGAAAAGAGCGTGGCCGGCGTTGGGTAGAAACTTCTTGTCTTGAAAAAGAACTGAGAAGAAACTTGTTGGCTGTGCGGGTGCCGGAGCCCTGGCCCAGGCTGCCCAGAGAGGGTGTGGAGTCTCCTGCTCTGGAGACTTTCCAACCCGCCTGGACGCGTTCCTGTGGGGCTGCCCTGGGTGACCCTGCTCTGGCAGGGGGTGGCACTGGGGGATCTCCAGAGCTCCCTTCCAGCCCCAACATTCTGTGATTCTGTGAACAGGAGAGTTATCCAGTCCTTCCCTTCCCCAGCACCTTCTGGGTGGGAAGGCAGGAAGGGTGCACGATTAAGAGATTGAGTTCCAGATACAGAACAGGGTGTAATTTCTACGGGACAACCCATCAGTCACTAATATTTAATATACAGTTGAAATTTGGGTATACAAACAATGGATTTGGGGAGGGAGAAAGCTCCCTTTAAAGCTGTGGGGTCACACATTTATATGTTAAAGAGCACCGAGAGGAGGAAAACTGGAACTGAAATGTCCTCTTAGTGCATTGCAGGACTCAGGGATTTGTTAGCCTGACGCAGGGACGGGATGGGGAGTGTCTAATACTGCCTCAATACACATAATTCAAGGAAAACCCTGCAATTAACAACCACAGTTAATTCTCCAGCTTGCCCCACGAGCTGGTTTGTGTCGGAGCCGACAGATGGGTGAAGGACTGGTTAAGCACTGGGCAAAGGGAGTTACACCTCGGCTGCAGCCGGATCCCTACCAGGGAACAACAGATCGGTGGAGAGCAACGAGGAGCGGTGCAGCTCTGCAGCCGACGGGTTTGTAGGACGTGTGCTCCACCTGACACGCGGGACTGAGGAAGGGAAGGTCTCTGGAACACACACAGAGGCAGCAGCTACCTGGAAGCAACATTAAGGAGCTGAGGTGACTTTTCTACGAGTCTAGAAATGAACGTGCTTTTCCAAGAGAAGGGTTGGGGTGGAGCCTTGAAAAATAGCTTTATCCTTTCTTCAGAAGCCAACAAGCTGCATATTGAGAGTTCTCCTCTAGGAGGTAAACGTGTTGGTCTCTGAGGGCACCAGCCCTGAACCGAGAAGAGCATCAATAAAAATAAAAGCTCAGTCTGAAAAGGAGATAAAGCAGGTTCAACACAGCTTCTATTTGAGAGGGACAACAATGGTATCGGCAGGTTCCAGTAAAAAAATCTTGGGTGGAAGGAACAAATAGTTAATGAAAAAAAATAAAAGCACGTGTGATGATAACACTCCTGGGTCCAAAATCTCAGGTGCTGAGGGGAAGGTTCGCTGAAAGGCGGTTGATGAGAAATACGGACATACCCTGAATTAAAAGAGGTGCAGCTTCGTGAATGTGCTTCTTATACTTCAGGTTTTCAAGTTCTGAAATGTTTGTTAATCTTCCTACTTTCAATAATATTTTTAAAGGGACTTGGCTGTTTAATCACAATACTGCGTCAGATTTTTGTGTATGTGTTCTTGCCTTGTGAAATCTGTGCAAGCTGGACATCTAAAAAGGTACAAATATTCTACAAAAAGTAGTAAAAAAAAAAAAGTTGCTCCCTATCTGCAGACCACACGATTTGCTCAGGGAGTGTCTCCGTCTCCCAGGGTTTGCTGAGGACAAAACCAGTGTTGGAGGGTGTTTGTGCTGCTTTGGAGTTTGTGCCTTTCGGGGTTTCATGTTCTTCCTGCTGCCCAGAGTTAAATTTTAAAATTGAAAGCCTGGAGACAGGTCAGGGCCGTACTGTGTAACGTCCCCAGCTCATGCCCTGGGCTGTTCCTCGTGCTGGCCCCAGTTCCTCTCAGAGGCTCTTTGCTGGTGACAGCAGCCCCGCGTCAGCTGCGCGTCTTCGGGGGGTCTCCTTGGCAGGGGTGCGCAGGGTGCG